CCCCTCCCCCTCTCCTCCCCCTCCATGCGGTTCAACGCCGAAGACGGTCCAGATTGCGAGTTGATGACATCGAAAACGATCAGCACCCAATCTCGGCCGCCGCGCCCCAATGAAACGGAGGGCCCAGATTGGCTGCTGGTCACAGGCCGCCAACTAGCGATTGTTATAATGTAGTGACACTCTGCTCTAAGTGGGGAAGATGCTGATAATAGCAGCTGATTCCTTTTTTTTTTTTTTCCCTTTTTCTAATGCTGATTTAATTCCAGTGACAAGAGATGAACAAGTGACATATCTAGATGGGGAAGTTGCCTTTTTTTAGCCTATTTCCCTTTTTTTCAATTGCTGAGGGCATACTCACACCAACACTTTCCTAAACGTATCCGACCGCATTTCCGGCAAGAGCTGGATGAATCTGACAGCTATCACGTCCAGAGCTTAGTAGAAAAAGTCCTAGTGTGAGTATGCCCTGATTCAATTTAGTAACCACTAACCTGCGGCACTCTTGGTGCCAACCAACTGAGATAGTCAGCTGGATCCTCCCAGTCGGTATTAGCAAGGTCTTCAGCCAACACGGGTGTCAGTGCGTGTGTGAGTTGAGTTGCGTGCGGTGTGTGGGAGAGTGTTGGCTTTAGACACTACTGTTATTCGATGGGGGTGGGGGAAGATGAAAAGGGAGGCACAGTTACTGGCAAATGCTCGGTCCTTGTGTTAGCCGGGCCCCCACCGGTGGCCCCAACCCTGCACCGTAAGCGCTAGGGCAAAGGGGCAAACATGCCATTACCTCTCTCCACCGACAGGGGTAACCTCCCTTCACCGAAGAGAGGTAGAAAGCTATGCTTGCAGGGGTCCCCTGTATAGCCTTAGGAGTAGTGGTAGGTAGGTAGTGAAAGAAAGATATGTCCCATGACATGGCAGAACGCCAGTTAAAAAATATGTGAGGTGAGAGAAAAAGATATGGCTGTCCCGCCACTCGTGGTTAATGGAAGGCCAAAAATTCGGGGTTTTTCGCCACATCGCTACAAGCAATGTTGTCGAAACTTTTGCGAACAAACTATGCAGGGTCATAATACAAACATCAAAAAAACAATCAGGCAAAAGAAAAACGAAAAAATCAAACTCAAAAGCACTATTAATCCCTATTCGGAGTCGCCAAAGTGTTTTTCGAGTCTGCTGTTTTTGCTAAGTTTTTTTTTACTGCTTCAAATACAGCGAAACTGAATACAGATATACCCTAAAGCACATATATAACAGGCAAAAAGAAAAACTGAGAAAACAGTAAAAAGTCAGGGAAATATGACAGTTTCGGTGAAAAATTCGCCAAAATTCGCCGAATTTTGGGCCTTCCATTAACTGTCTCTCTGTCCCGCAATAAGGAGAACGCAACCTCTGGAAAGAAGAAAGTCTGAACAAGACTCAACAAGCTGCGCAACCAATTCAATTACTTCTCGAATCTGGACACGACAGCCTTTCAGGCCTTTTTTTTTTGTCATTATAGTATTAKGGGGAACCCCGTAGCCGCCACATCAGTGCTCAAGCCTCCAACGAGGGAACATGCGGGAGCTGCACCCATCAGCAGGTGGGCGATACCAGCCAGGGGTCAGTCGGTAGCATCAGGACCACGCTACTTCGATAGGCCAGTCACTGTGCCTCCCCTCCGGTCCCCTCCCCCTATGAACATCAGCAGTCTCTGCTCAATGCCACTCGGGGGAACCAATGACCTATCTCTAGGTGGCAGGCGCCAAGCTTGCCCAGGAAGGCACACTAGGCCAATGGGGATTGAACCCAAGGCTTCCTGAATGCCACTTGCGTGCCTTACCAACTGAGGTAGGCCACTGGTTACAAGTTGCTTTTTTTTAATAAAAAAAAGGTCCAGGGTGTAGTAGAGGGCGGGTGCCAGACCTTTCTTTTTTTTTTTTTTTCTTTTTTTCTTTTAAGGTCCAGGGTGTAGTAAGGGTGGTGGCCAGGCCTCAGGAGCTGCCCGCAGTACTCATCCATTGGAAGATCAGAGGGATTGCGAGGACCCAGGGAGAGTCACCTCAGGATGGCACCATGGTACCATGACCTATGATAATGCTCAGGTCGTAAGTCGTGCTGTGT